GGTGGCTCGCATGACCTGGGACAGGGAGCGGAGAAAATCGTGAATGCTCAGGCTGGCGTGTTCGAAGAATTACGCAAGCACTGGTCGCCGATATTTCAACGTGGTCTTCCTGAACACCCTCTTGTGCGGCGCTATTTGGACGAGCATCCCGTGGTGATTGATGGCCTCGAGGACATTCGTCTTCCTGACTCTCGCGATCTCCAGCGGGCGGCGCGGAGGGCTCGCGCCTCGGCGCCAGGCCCAGACGGACTGCCGTATGATGCTTGGAGCTGCTGTGGGTCATCGCGTCCTCTGGAAGACCTGGCGCAGGTGGGGCTCGAGGTCGCGCAGGGCTTCCCGCCGCCGCCTGACCTCAACGACCACCTGATGGTTTTCCTGCCCAAAGGTGCCGAGGCTGACGATATGGTATCGGGCCCGACCCGCACGCCACCCACGACCAGACCTCTGGCCCTCAAGAACACGGATGCGAAGCTGCTGGCCGCCAGCGTGAATCACCTCATCAAGTTTGACATCGGGCGCCACTCCCCCTCCTCCAAGAGGGGGTTCCTACCTGGGCGCAACTTCTTGGACAACATCACCTTGCTCGACACAGCCGCTCGTCGAGTGGGCTTCTCCTCAACCAGGGACCAGCGCATGCCGTTGATGGTCCTCTTCGACTTCGGGAACGCCTTCCCTTCCCTGGCTGTCTCCTTCCTGCGCGCGGTGCTGCTGCGAGCTGGCTTCCAGGGCGGCCTCTACCAGCTCATCATGGGCATGTGCTGGCTGCCGCGGGCCTTCGTATCCATGGAGGGCGAGCTGCGTCGCTTCATGCTAGTCGCGGCGGGCATCGCTCAGGGCTGCCCGCTCTCAGGGTCCTTGTGGGCTGTAGCCATGAACCCCTTCGTGGCTCACATGGAGCACATCCTCGAGCACTGGAAGTCCTCCGCGGTGGGCGTCTGTGCGGACGATGTCGGCGCGGCCCTGCAGGATCGCAGGCTTCTTCTCCACCTGCGCAAGGTCTTCGCTGCGGCGCAGGCTTTGGCAGGTCTGGCCCTCAAGCTGGCCAAGTGCAAGGTCGCACCCCTGAACGCCGCATTCTCCGAGGAGCTGGCTGCAAACATCAAGGAGCGGCTAGCGCTGGAGCTGCCTGGCTGGGAGCAGATGGACGTCGTTCCATTCGCCAAGTACCTGGGCTATATCTTGGGCCCTGGCGCCACGATCGATGATGCGTGGCAGGAGGCCGGCGCCGCATGGATCCATCGCATTCGCGACCTTGCGCGAGAGGGGGCGCCGGTGCACCTCGCGACTGCGATCTACAATCGCCCCCGTGACTCATCCCTCAACCCCCCAACCCCCCGACCGGATTTCTTTTCTTCTTTCCGCGGGGGGTCAACCTTCGCGGCGACCCGTTAAACCCGGGACCCCTGGCGGCGCATGGATTTCTTTCCTTCTTCCCCGCGCGCGTTGCCGTTGGAACCCCTGAACCCCTCCGACTACCGTACAACTCGTACTTGAGTACAACTGGTACTATCATGTCCTATCGCGCAGTTGTTCCTAGAGAGCACGTTGTCCTGCCGTGCAAATATTCGAGTGCAGCTGGTATCATATTACAGCTGGTAAAATTGTGCCCCCTAGAACAACGCCCTATCGCCAATCCCCAGTACTAGTACAACTCCATGGTACAACTCCCGAGCACAGCTCCCCCGTACAATTCCCCGGTTTAAGTGGTACTATAACAACTCTCTGATCCAAGTTCCGAGTGCTAGTACAACTCCCTCGTACAAGTCCTTGATGCAACTCCTTGGTGCAATTCCCGAGTAATAGTGCAACTTCTAGTGCAAGTCTGTAGTGCACTTCCCTAGTACTACTACAATTCCTTAGTACAGTTTAAAAAACAAATACAAAAACAAAGCTTTGTTCTTTATTTAGCGTTCATTTTTTGGAAGAATCCTGAGTATATTGGGTTTCAATATATTGGGTTTCCAATATTAAGTTCCCAATATATTGGGTTTCCAATATACTGAGTTTCAGCTGTGTCGGTTTCCTATATATTGGGTTTCTAATTTCTTGAGTTTCCAATATATTCGGTTTCCAATATATTGGGTTTCCAAGATAGTGGGTTTCCAATATGTTGGGTTTCCCATATATTGGGTTTCCAATATACTAGGTTTCCAATATATTGGGTTTCCAATATACTGGGTTTCCAATATAATGGGTATCAAATATATTGGGTTTCCAATGTATTAGGTTTCCAATATATTGGGTTTCCAATGTATTGGGTTCCTAATATATTGGGTCCCCAATATTTTGGGTTTCCAATATATCGGGTTTCTAATATATTGGGTTTCGAATATATTGGGTTTCGAATATATTGGGTTTCCAATATATTGAGTTTCCAATATATTGCGTTTCCAATATACTGGGTTCCCAATATATAAGCCCGAACCCGAACCCAAACCTCACCGGCTGTAATTCAGTTGTTCCCGTACTAATGCAAATCCCTAGTGCAACCGCGATTAAGGTGTTGTTGCATTGCGCTTACAGTTTCGGCTCTCACGCTTTTCTTCCTCTGGTTGCGCTTGGGGGGGTGGGGCCCCTCGCGCGGGCACCCCCGCGGCTGGGAGTTCATCCCTCTTCCGGAATTTGAGGGGGGGGTAACCCCCGTGCTCGAACCCCATCGCCCGGATTTTTTTTTCCTCCGCGGAAACCGGACCCCCTGGGTTCTTCGGCGCGCCCCATTTTTTTTTCTTTCCGGTTGGGCCTCCATGGGTCTTAGGTTGGAGTCACCCGGGTGATGATCTACAACTCGCGCGTGCTCACGGTCCTCAGCTACCTGATGCAGCTGGCGCCGCTGCCCCGCGCGCTGATCAGGCGCGAGGCCTGGGCGCGGCACAAGCTCTGGCATCTCCCGCCGCAATCGATCTCGCCTGCTGGACTTCTGGGAATTGGGAGCTGGTCGACGCTGCGCCCAGCCAACATGCAGGTCCTCAGCTCGGCCTCTCGTATGCGCGCAGCCATCAGCACGGTCGCCGACTGGTCGCCCCTGATCAAGGCGCTGCAGGAGGCGACGCTCGCCCTCGGCAGTCTCGCAGAGGTGGGCTCTGGCTGGTGGTCGCCTGACTTCTGGAGAACAAAACCGATCGTGGTCCACATTTCTGAGGCCAGCAAGGCCGCCTTTCCTCTGAAGGCTCGCGCCTCGGCCGCCAGCGCTGCCCTGGCCGCCTTCGCCGAAGCCTCGGAACTGGGGCGCGTGAAGGTGCAGAGATCCCTTTCCTCTTCCCTTCGCCTCGCTCTTTACCCCGACGCCCTCCACCTCGCTCTCGCTAAGCGCATGGCCTCTTGGGAGCTCCCATTTTCTGAATCGTTTTGGGATGCCCTCAGAGATCTCATTCGCAACAGAGGCCCTCCAGCATGGCAAAGTGCGGTCTTGAAGACGATTGTAGGAGGTTGGCTCACCAGCGCACGTTTGTACTCGTCAGAGATCGGCCTGTGTAGATTCCAATGCGCTCAATGCCGAGACGACATGTTGCACTGTATTCACTGCCCTGTTCTTTGGAGGCTTGTATACCATCCTGACCCGCCTCCTGTTTGTCCCTCCACGCGTCTTGGGCTCGATGGTCACCCTTCGCCTGAGATCGTTGAGCGGATTGTGCGGGCTTACCACATATATAATATTGTCCGCACCGCCCCCGCGCTCGGCCCTCTCGACAGTGAGGAGGCTCTAGGGAGGCATCATTACAATATACGGCGTGCTGCCTAGACCCTTGTAGAGCACTCTAGAGCGCCCTTCTAGGTCTGTTTGGTGGGACCCGTCTGGACTCCTCAAGGTACGAGTGATAAGTAACATCCAAACCTGAGCATGTTCAGCGGTCGTCTTTGGATGGACTGGCACTGGGAACCAACACGGACCCCATGTGCGCGACGCTGTGGCGAGGTGCGCCACGCGTGCCAGGCACGCCACGCGCGCCAGGCACCCCTACGGCCCGAGCGTGCCAGGCACGCCTGGTGCGCCGGATGCGCCGCGTGCTCCGCGTGCGCCAGGTGTGCCGCATGCTCCAGCCGCGCCAGGCGCGCCACGTGCGGGGGGCGTGCAGAGGGTGTCAGGTGTGCCTGCGCACGTGTCGGCCCGCATTGGGAAACGTGTCGGCCCCCACCAACCTTGTCGAAAGCCAGTGCCCATCATTGTGTCTGGTGGGCCTGCGCACAGCAGGCCATACGCCACCACCCCCGCCGCCCCTGTCAAAAACCACTTGACAGTGATCGCGGGGTGGCCGCGCATGATCCAGATTTAGCCGCGAGGTGCATTTTGCGCAGTTTTTTTCAGGGATGGTAGCCCTTCGCACAGCAGGCAATATGCTGACACCCCCGCCGTCCCTTTCAAAAACAATGCAAAGTGCTCGCGGGCCTCACGAACACCACTCAAGATTTTACCCCAAAGTGTATTTTGTATTGTTTTTTTTTTTGACAGGGATGATGGGGGGACAGCATCGCGTTGGCCGCGCGCGTGCTCTACATGTGGAGGCAGAGTGCGCTTCGTATTGTTTTCTGGCAAGGATGCTGGGGGGGGGGTTAGCATGGGGTCCTCATGGTTCCTGGTTGACTGCCGGTCGCCCGGGGGACGGGGTGTATGTTGGTAGGGAACAGCGATAGATCCTTCCCCGAAGAAGGTTGGGGAGTTGGAAGAGGGAAAGCCTTAAGCCCCTGACGGCCTGAAGGGCTGGTGGGATTCCTCCTGCTCTTCCTCCTCGCAATCACGCGCTCACCCACTCACTCAGCCTCCTCCTTTTCATGCTCGTCCTTCCTCCTCCTCCTCCTCCTGCTCCTGCTTCTCCTCTTCCTCTTCCTCCTCCTCCTCCTCCTCCTCCTCCTCCTCCTCCTCCTCCTCCTCCTCCTCCTCTTCCTTCCTCTTCCTCCTCCTCCTCCTCCTCTTCCTCCTCCTCCTCCTGCTCCTCCTCCTCCTCGCCGGTCCTCCTCGGGGGGCGTGGGAGAAGCCGGTGGGGAATTGCACATCGCCTGCGCAGGTGCCAGCCAGTCATCGTGGAGGGCGCCGTGGCGCAGTGGGCGGCCATGAGGCAGCGCCATGCATGGGAGGGGGTTTCCGCCTCCTCCTCCTCCTCCTCCTCCTCATTCCTCCTCCTTCGCCTTCTCCTCCTCCTTATTCTTCCTCCTTATTCCTCCTTTTTCCTCCTCCTCCTCCTTATTCCTCCTTCTCCTTATTCCTCCTCCTCCTTATTCCTCCTTCTTATTCCTCCTCCTCCTTATTCCTCCTCCTTATTCCTCCTCCTTCCTCCTTCTCCTCCTCCTCCTCCTCATCCCCCCGTCCTGGAGAATGGCAGCCATCAAGACGTGGACGGGGGGGTGGGTCACGGACACCCGCATGCGCAACCCCGACTTGTCCTGTCTAATGGGATGCGAGTGCCCTGACTCTCTCGCTCACTACGTGCGTTGCCCTGGATTCCTTTTCCTCGTTCGCTCCGTGTCTGGGTCCGAGGTGGACCCGTCCCTCCCCCGACGGCTGGTCATCCTGGATCCCTCTCTCCTGCGGTTCCGACAGCTCGTGATTCTCTTTCACCTCCACCGCCTCCTTCACCAAGCGAGGAGGATTAGAGGGAACTGGTGTCCGTCCGCCGATCAGGCGCGAGATTTTGCCAAAGCGGCTCAGATGGCGACGGACACCCCCATGGGAGGGTGGCGATCGATCGCCAGAGGCTTGAATGCTCAGCAGGCGTAGGCGTGGCTGACGAACTCATTCCGGCGCTGGGCCTCCTCCTCATCATCATCACATTCACATTCACCATCACCATCACCATAAACATCATCACCATAATAAGCATCATCATCAGCATCATCATCATCATCAGCAGCAGCAGCCTCATCATCATCATCGTCATCACCCTCATGAGCATCGCCATTATCATACTCATGTTCATATTTGTCTTCATGAACATCATCAGCACCATCATCACCATCACAAGATTCACCTGCATATCCATCAGCAGTATCCCCATCTCCTCCATCATCATCACAATCATCAGCATCAGCGTCATCGTCGTATTATCTTCATCATCACAAACACCGCCTTCATCATCACCGTCATCATCATTATCATCATCTTCATATTCATCTACTCCATCAGCACGATATACTTCAGCATGATCGTCATCATCTGCATCATCAGCATTATTATCAACATCTTCATCATCACCAGTATCATCGTTGTCATCAGCATGAACATCGCCACCACCATTACCATCATTATCATCACTGTCATCATCTTCTTCATCGCCACCATCATCGAATATCATCGCCTTCTTCATCATCTTCACCGTCACCATCACCACCCTCTTCAGCAGCATCACCGTCATCAGCAGCATTCGCATCATCACCATTATCATCATCAACAGTATCATCTTCATCAGCATCACCATCATCTTCTTCAGGGCCCGCTGATTGCCGTGCTCATCCTATTCACCCTCCTCCTCCTCCTCCTCCTCCTCCTCTTGCTCCTCCTCTTCCTCCTTCTCCTTCTCCTCCTTCTCTTCCGTGGCCATTTTGGCTCAAGGCTCCATGTCGCCCAGCGGCCACGTGGACACCGCTGGTCCCCGTCCGGCAGAGATTGTCGGCCTTCACTGCGGGAGCTGGGCCCCCGCCCCAGCTTTGTGCACCAGGCCATGCCGAAGGCCCGCCGCCCATGCACGGTCTGTGCCAAGTGTGGTGGATGGGTTTACGACTGGAAGCTCCAGCGCTCGGATGGTTGGTGCGACCGTTGCAACGATGTCATTGATTCGCCGAAGTGGCAGACGTGCGGGGACCAGGAGGCCCGCGGCGTGCAGCCGCCTTGGTGGTCAAACCGGCCGAGGCTCACCCCCGAGCAGGAGTTGGACACCATCATCAAGAAGTTCGAGGAGAAGAAGGGCAGCTACAAGGTGGATGTGGACCTGCAGGCGCTCCGTGACTTCAGGGGCAATGTGGTCGAAACGATCCCGAAGAAGCGAAAGCGGGAACTTCCACAGTCCCTGGCGCTCAAGCAGGCTGTCAACCGTAAGGAGCAGGCGCAGAAGGAGCTCGATGCGGCGACTACCTCGTTGCTGGCGGCGCAGCAGCAGGTGCGTTAGGCGCAGCAGGTGCAGGACGAGGCAGCCGCCAAGATGGCCGAGGCGGAGGCGGAGCATCAGCGCGTGCTCGACGAGTATTCTGCGCAGTCCAAGGCGGTGCCCCCGCAGGAGGCCCCGACCATGCAGGGTTGGAAGGCTCCTGAGGTTGACGAATCGCTCTTCGAGGAGTTGGGCGGCTACGACGCGCAGGATCGAGCGAAGCTGCTCAAGTTTAAGGGGGACATGCAGGCACTGGCGGCGCTGGTCAGCAGCGCGCACGCCCAGTGCAAAGATTTCGATGAGCTGGCGGAGCAGGCGAAGGCGGTGCAGCAGGCCCACAAGGAGATGCGCAGGAAGGTCGGCGACGAGGGGGCCATTGCCTTCGCCGTCTCTGGTGGGCCCGTCCCTCAGGAGGTGGAGGAGACCCAGAGCGACGACCAGAGCGCGGTGGTGCCGAAGCGTGAGAAGGCCGTGGACGAGAAGAAGCAGAAGGCAGCGGTGGAGCGCATCAAGGAGCAGTCCAAGGCCAGGCTGCGCGAGGCGCGAGGCACTGCCCCCTCGTCAGCGGCAGCGTCCAGCGGCGCAGCGGCCCCGAGCAAGGGCGACGAGAAGGAGGATGACGATCATGACATGGGCACGACGCCTGCTGCTGGTGGGCAGCGCGTTTAGCATCATGTTCGCCAATAGCACCAAGTGGGGCCCGCAGGCCCACAAGTACCTCGACGAGACAGGCAACACTATGGATATATTCATGATGTGCGAGACGCACGCCATCAAGCAGGAGATCCCGCAGGCGAAGTCCACGATGGCCCTGGATGGACGGCGGCTACTGGCGACACCTGCGACACCTACACGTAAGTCTGGCACAGGGGCCTCGGGCGGAGAGCTCATTGCAATCAGGTCTCATATCGCGGCGACTGGCTACGACGAGGTCCGCGCGAAGGTCCAGGGGCAGGGGCGCCGCGACCCGTTTCAGGGTTTCTCGCCGGCCACCTTACATTTACGAGGAGGCAACTTGGTGCCCATCGCAGTTTACCTGGTGCCCAAGGATGGCTTTGGTTGGTGGAGTCAGTTTAAAGAAGATCTGCGCGCTGGCGGCGTTCGCGCAGTCGATCGCGGACCCGTGGGTCATCATGGCGGACTGGAGCGCCCCGTGCCAGGCTGACTTTCTGGACAAGATTGGGGCCGTCTCGTTGTGCCCTGATGTCACTCTAACCTGTGACAAGGGCAAGGGCAGCCTCATTGATTGCGGCATCGCCAGGCGCGACGTTGGACCCCACCTCAAACTTGAAGCAGGTCATCGTGCCCCGTGGAAGACATTGCGGGTTGAGGTTGCACGTGGGTGGTTTGGCTCAACCTTGGCGGCACTCTGCAGTTGCCCCCCCCCAACAGCCCCCGCTTCCCATTCGGCCGCAGCCGGCGCCTGACCCGAACAGCAAGACCTCGCTGAGGAAGACGGAGTTGCAGGCGCAGAGGGCGGCGAAGCTTGAGGCCCATCTGCAGGAGGCGTTGGAGGAGCTGGAGGCGGCCACGGACACGGAGGGCCAGGTGATGCCGTACATGATCCCGCTCGACGTTTGGCAGCGTGCGCAGGATAGTATACAGCAGAAGGATATGGACCACCAGATGTCGGGGGAGATGCAGTGTGTGCGTGACGACCTCACCTACGGCTCGGAGGCACAGTAGCTGGCGGTGGACGGCGACCCACGCGCGCGGCGACTGGGTCTCGACCTTGGAGCGGGCCACGCTCACGGTCAGCGATGTCACTGAGGACGCGCAGCACCAGCGCACAGGGCGCGCAGCTGGCATGGGCAGCCGCACCGTCAAGACTAAGGCCACCCCGGGCCGCGCGCGCATGAAGTATGCGCCTGCGGAGCACTGGGGTGTTTGCACGACACTGCTCAGCCGTTACCTTGCGCTCAGGCTACACCATAGTGACTTTCGACAGCAACGTTCGCGCGTGAAGGAGCTGCAGGCGCAGGTGCACAGCATGGGGACCATGGACCAGGAGGCTGTCTTCGGCAAGAAGGTGCAGCAGGAGGAGCGCAGCCCGGTCGACGAGCAGGTGGGGCGGCTAGGCAGTCTCACCACGGATGAGTTGAAGAGAGTGTTGGCTAGGTTCGAGCGCTTCCAGGCGGCGGCGCAGGCCCGCGGCTTTACTGCGGAGAGACAGGGCTTCACTAAGTGGGCGAAGGGGATGTCGGCGAGCAAGCCTGGCGCCCTCCACCGTCGCGTCAAGGAGAAGCTCGCCCCAGTTTATGAGCTGGCCCTCAACGCGGAGCAGCAGGTTGCGGACCCCGACACGGTCATGGAGCACGAGGCGAGGTTCTGGGAGCATATCTGGAAGGATCCCGTGGGCACGCGTGCGCAGATCACGGAGTTTCTAGTGGAGCTGGCTGAGCAGGCCAAGGAGGATGAGTTGGAGCCGGTCACGATAGATCAGGTGGACGCGGTCATCAACAGGTCGAGCGACGCGAAGGCCATGGGTTTTGATGTTCTGGGACCAGGCAACACTCGTCGGCTACCTTAGATCGCGCGTGAGCAGTTAGTTGCTGCAGTTGATACAGTATTGTGAGCGTGAGTGTGTGCGTGGCCACGACAGTGCTCAGTCACAAAGTGCGCGATCGCGGGCAAGCCCTGAGGTGGCGACCGCGCGTTGGGCATGATTGCCTTCGTGCCGAAGCTATGGAGCAAGCGTCGCGCCGCCCTCAGTGGGTCGTGGTCACAGGGGTTGTCTGATCATTGGGATACGGCGATTCGAGGTTCCTCGGCGTTGCGAGCTGGACTGCTACGTGCATGCCTGGACGAGTCCAGTTTGGATTTCGGGGCCACATCATTAACTTTGCTTCTGGACATTGAGAAGTTCTACGATTCGGTGTCTCTACCCATGCTACTACGATTGGCCAGGTCTGTGGAAGTCCCAGCTGCGTTGATCTCCTTGGAGGTGCAACAGTTCCTGGTCCCCAGCTATTTGCAGGAACGGTCGGTGCTGAGCAGAGTTATTTTCCCGTCCAGGTATTGTTGCCGGATCTTCACGTGGAGTGAGGTTAGCGAAACTGCTTCTGCACCCGGTCCTGGATTATGTTCATAGACGCCCCCCTGCTTCGGGGCTCTGGACGTTGGTGGACGACGCCACCGCGCAGTGCGAAGGTAGCTGCGCGTCAGTCGTGGAAGCTATGATAGCTATTGCCATCGAGCTCAAGAAGGGTTTGGAAGAGCAGCGGGTGGTGATTTCTCAGAAGATTACTTATTGGCTCAAATCCACGTGTGACCCAGAGGACAGCCAAGCTCCTGCGCGCTCGCGGGCCCCCCGTCAAGGCCGTTTCGGGTCTTGGCCTCGACGCTGCTGCTGGCGGGAAGCGCACTGTCAGGAAGGCTAAGCAGAGGCTGCGAGGTGCCCTTCGTCGTGCAGGGAAGATCCGCAGGCTGCGACGGATCGGTGCATTGGCTAGGATTTCGCGAGGGTTGTGGAACGCGGGCGATGTACCTCAGGCGCTGTACGGGCATCAAGTTTTTGGTATGTGGAAGGCAGATATTACGCAGTTGCGCAGACAGGGTGGACAGATGGTGGGGGGCGAGCCCGCGGACGCTGCCTCACCACCACTTTGGCTTGCGACCCGTCGGTGCCCGACCCCGCGCTCGAGATCCCCATGCAAATCGTACGTGAGTGGGTTGGACTGTGGCTACGTCATCCTGAGCTACATGATCGTGTGATACGTGTATGGGGTATGATACGCACCCGGCTGTTGAAGGCGGCTGCGAGGTGTTGGGCGCACGTGCGTGGCCCAATTGCTACGGTGCAGGCGGCCTTGATGGATGTTGGCTGGGATCCTGTGGCTGCTACCTCCTGGATGCGGCCTACTGGGCGTGACGACGACCCTGTGGACAAATGGGACAATCCTTCCCGACATACTGATGGATTTTCACCCACGGCGTCGTTCGAGGCGCTGTTCGAGGATGTGGAGGCGGACATTCGTGGCATCCTGTGGCGCGAAGCTGCTAGATACGAAGCGGGGCAGGATCCCGATGGCGGAGCTGATCTGATCCCGTTTGCGCGAGAACAAAGCAGACTGGGGCGTCAGGTGCCAGAGACATGTCGGCTGTGAACGTCACGGTAGCCAGCGGCGGCCATTGGACCAAGCAGAGGGCGGTGGACAACGGGTACCTCATTGAGCCGCTCTGTGGCCGCTGCGGGAAGGCACCCGAGCCCCTCTTCCATCGCATCTGGGCATTTGAGCAGAATCGTGACCATGAGGATTACATGCGCACGGATTGTCTATTGCCGTTTGTTGTCTCGTCTCATGTTGTTGAGCCCTCCCTGCGGCTTCGGGGTCTCCCACCCTTGCGCCTCACCCACCCTGCTTTTGACAAGGAGGTGGCGCGAGGACTGGCGGAGAGGTGTGGGGGCCCTGAGGCGTTTCTTGAAGGCCAGCTTGAGGGCACACGGTTTGTGTTTGGCGACGGCTCGGGTGGGAAGTATAGTGATGGCCCCCGCCGTCGCCGATGTGGCACGGCGATCACCGCCATTGCGAAGCGTGGTGGCCATTCTGAGCTCGTTGCTGCCCTAGCGAAACCGCTCGCTGGAGACAAGCAGACGGTCCCTGGGACGGAGATGTCTGCGTTTGTGTTGGCGTTGTCGGAGGTCCAGGGCCTAGTCGTGTTTGTGATTGATTGTTTTTTGTTTTGTTGGTTCTGGGGGCCCCGCCTGCGGGGCCCTCGGCCTCGCGGGCCAAACGAGGACCTGTGGACTGCGGCGTGCCAGGCTCGGGAGCCCAGACATGACAAAGAGTTTCTGTCGGTGGTGTGGGCGCCATCGCGCCGAGATGATTCGCCAGCAACGGTCCAGTCGGAGTGGGATATGCTCCTTGTCTGCGGGAGTTCGACGGCGGATCTGTGGGCGGGGAGGGCGGCGGAGATGGCGGGGGAGTCTGCTCTGCTCGGTGCGTGGCCTGATGTGGATCGTGTCGACGCCACCGCCGCCCTGATTCGCCGCCGTGTTCGGCGGGCCTTGATTGATGCTGCTGTGGCGGAGCCGTCGCACCGTGCTAGCCGCCAGCAGCGCCCCGCTCGCTTGCCCAAGCTTGAACTCTTGTTGAGGTCGTCGGCACACCAGTTGAGTAAGTATGGGTCGAAGTGGGCGCGTGCTTCCTGTGAGATGGTGGTTGCCGGCGCCAGCCGATCAACATGTGTTGCGAGCCCGTGTGAATGCACCTCCCCCTTAAGTGTTGAGGCCTGCCCTGTTGCTCCGCAGGCTGCACGGGCTGCAGCACTGCAGATCCACCCCACGCATAGGTTCAGTTTTTCCCCGAAGTGGTTTCTCACCTGTTGCACGGGCTGTGGGTTTTACGCCACGGTGGATCCCAGGGCCCTCGAGGGTCGTTGTGCTGGACCGTCCCCGAAGGGGACGGAAAACCTGAACCGTCTGAAACGGGGGCTCTATCCACGAAGAGAGGGGCCCCCGAAGCCGATTTTGGCGGCGATGGCGGAGCGGGAGAGCCATCTGAGTACTACTCTCCTTTCTCCCCTGACTCCGTCCGGAAGATACTGGGCCCTCTCCGCGTGTTGCTGTTGACCACACCAGATTTAAACATGTGTGTGTGGCACCTACGTTTGTTTGCAATCCGATTGCACTCTGTGCTTCAAAATGGTGCTCCCGCTGCAGCGTGGGCCTCACTTTCGGATCGGCGATTTGCTCCCGCTCTCGCCCCAACTCGTTCTGGATCCGAGTGCCCCCTCATTTCCCCTCCGCCTTCCAATGGTCCTCCTGTTCCCCCGCCCCGTCCACTCCAGTTCCTACTGTTGCTTTTCGTCCTCGTCCTTCTCCTCCTGCTCATCCTCCTGCTCACTAGCCACCTCCGCCTCCTCCCCCTGTGCACGCAGCTCCCCTTTTTCCGATTTCACATAACACGACGTGGTCTTCTTGACCTCCTATTCCTCCTCATCCTCCGCCTCCATCTTCCACCTCGCTGGAGATGGGAAAGCGAGGAAATCGGAGGGACGAGGGCGAACAACATTCAGGGAAACACAAGATTCGAGTAAGCCGGAACTCGGGTTTGCCGGCGTTTTTTTACGAGCGCGTCGTGAGTTGTCGTGGGATGTTTGCAGCGGGAGCTCGCGTCAGATTTCAGATTGTGTCTCGTCATTTTTATGGTGGCCCCGTCAGGCCGACCCGAGTCCCCCGTACCCGAGTCGTACGTCTCCTCGAAAAATGAGTGACGAGGGACGAGAGGGGATTATGCAGGACTCTGTTGAAGGGACGTCCAGGGCTCACTGAGCGCAGTGGTGTCTGAAGCCGACTTCGACCCCCCGTCCGAAGAGACGAGCACAAAGTCAGGCCCGCGAGGCATGGCCCGGAATCGAATCGGCAAGTTGAATCGGCAGGGTAGGGGGAGTAGGAGGAAGAGGAGGAGGAGGAGGAGGAGGAGGAGGAGGAGGAGGGGCAAGAGGAGGAGGAGGAGGAGGAGGAGGAGGAGCAGCAGCAGCAGCAGCAGGAGGGAAGAGGAGGAGGATGATGATGAGGAGGAGGAGGAGGAGGAGGAGGAGGAAGAGGAGGATAGGGAGGAGGAGGATAGGGAGGAGGAGGATAGGGAGATGAGGAGGAGGAGGAGGAGGAGGAGGAGGAGGAGGAGAGGAGAGGAGGAGGAGGAGGAGGAGGAGGAGGAGGAGAGGAGGGAGGAGAGGAGGAGGAGGAGGATGAGGGAGGAGGAGGAGGAGGAGGAGGGAGGAGGGAGGAGAGGAGAGGAGGAGGGAGGAGGAGGGGAGGAGGATGAGGAGGAGGAGGGAGGAGGAGGGAGGAGGAGGAGGAGGAGGAGGAGAGAGAGGAGGAGGGAGGAGGAGGAGAGGAGGAGGGAGGAAGAGGAGGAGAAGGAGGGGGCCTGCTGGAGAAGCGATGGCAGCTGCTTCAAAGACGGGGCCAAGCAGCATCGTCGAGCAGGATGGGGACTCTCAAAGCCGTCGCCCGAAGGAGTTCTGCCGGGCAGGTGATGCCGGCGAGTGGGGGGCGAGCTCCCGCAGACCTCCCCGGCAGGGGAGCGCGTTGCGTCGCTCGCAGTGGCGTCGTTGCTTCCAGGTGCCAGCACTGCTTTCTCTGGTTATTCTGGAGTTGCTGGGATGCCGGCCAAGCCTCGCCAGCTAATCCTCCACAGGAAGAGTTCTTCTTCGGGCGTCAAGCTCGTCGCCCTTGGGCGGGCCCCACCAGTTTTCGAGATCCCGAAGGTGAAGGCCCACATAAACCCCGATGGCTGCGAGCCCTCTTCGTCCGACTGGTACAAAGCCAGGGGGAGTGAAGAAGCAGAGTCAGCAGCTAAGCTAGGTGAAAAATTGCACAGTGAGCACGGCAAAAGCGAGGTAGAGTTGTGGGAGTCTCAAGGCGAAATCCTTAAGACATTTCTCAAGTTTGTCCCTGGAGCTTTGTCTCTCTTCCCCAAACCTCCCAAAGGGAAGCTGGAGCGGGTTCGGCCTGCCAGGATTCAGGGGAGT